CTGTAGCGTAGATGTAGCAACATTAATGATTTGTTTTTGGATGTATTTGTGCCTCTGTTGCTTTTGATGGTATTCCTTTACAATACTGCCATGTTGATACAGCAACGAGCAAACAGGCAAACTGCAAACTGATAATGGAGATGATGGAGATTTGTACTAGAAAGGTAACGTATAAGAAATGAATGACTTAAATCACGTTGTTCTTGGGCTTTTGCATTTTAGAAAACTTGGCCTGTCGGACCTTGAGGTTGAGGTCTGAGAGCAAACCATTCTTTCACGAATGTTTGTAGAAGCAGCCTGAATGCTATAGGAGCCAGTGACTATGTAAGTGATTGGAACGCCTGAATTCAGTGATTTGAATGGGAAAATACTTCAGTGTATTTTTCCTGTGTTTTCCCAGGTCACCGGTGTCCCAGCCTCCCTGCTCTCACCTGTAACGAGGAGTTCAGCGGTGCTTGTGGCTTGTCCAGCTCCGTTCGTGGCTCTAACAGAAAACCTTCCGCTGTGTGCAGCCGTCACAGCAGGAATCCTCAGAACAGCGCGGCCATCGCTGAACAAGATCTGTATACCTGGCAGAGTGGTGGTGGAAAGAACCTGGCCATCGCGGAACCAGCTCACCTCAGGAACTGGAGAACCTGTGGACGACAGAACAGTCACAAATGGTCGGGTTCAACATGTGAGTCGGTTCAGTCTGGAAGCTGTCTTACCACTAATTTGAGCCTCAAACGTCGCGGCACTACCCTCAAGTGCCACGACGCTCTGTAGCGGCTGTGTGAATGTCGGTGCTTGTGTTGACATGTTGGCTGGCACCCTACACACAAATAAGACAAAGACACAGTCAGTGGACACGTCAAACAACATCAACAAATTAGTGCAGCATAAAATGAAACGTCCTTTCAAAGAATTGTTGGCATTACCCGGCAGCACATATCAGTATCACTCCACATCATGGACATCAGGAGTCAGTCCAGAGAGATAATAAGGTCTACTCTATAAGACTGCTCCAGTTCAGCTCAGCAGTTTTCAGCCTCTAACTATTGTTGTGAGACCTTTGTTTTTAGCTTTTTACAGTTTGGGAGAAAATTAAGGAGTCGTCTTTAACCCTGTAAGACCCAACCCATCAAAAAATAGCCAGCCATGTTTATTAACCCTCATAAACAAAATCCACAAGTGTATTTATTTTTTGCTATATCATGTTGTGTATGATATATTTTGTTCTATATTTATTATATATTTTTATCGCATTTCATATATTGGGTGTTTTTGGCAACTTTTTGGTAACAACAATGTTAATTTTAGACAAAAAAAAGAGTTTTGTCCGTAACATTTTGAAATTATGGCAAGTATTGATCATGCTGATGAGATCGAGGTCTCAGAAACTCATTATAGGGTTAAGACTTGAGATTTTCTTAGTTTAACTCACGAGTCCAGATGATTTTTAGAAATAGGCTCTAACTATTTTTGTTTATAGACATAATTCATGGTTTGTACCTTTTTATTGAATTGTCCACAGAGACAGGGCTGTAAAGCACAAATCTAAAGCTAACTTTACCTTTACATTGGAAACAGCAACAAAGGGAGATGACTTTGGGGTTTTTCATGCTGTCAGTCAAACCAGCACGACTTCAGACAAGCTGTCTCTTCCAAAGTTAGTAAGATGGCTTTTACTTCCGTTTGGACATCTCAAAGGGAATCACCACTGCAGAAGAGTTTTACCCAATAATGCAGTGACAGGAGTAATACTGTAACCTTCACATATGAGTCCTATGAGTTTAAGGTGCATTGTGGGTAATATAGGTGATATGAAGAAAGACACATTTGGATGTGCAGAACAACGTTACAAGCATTACGTTCGTCTATAACAGTGGTTCTCAACCCGGGGTCGATCAAACCCTAGGGGTTCGGTGAGTCGATCCCAGGGGTTCGGCAGAGCCTCCACCGTGACATGCACGGCTCATTTTGTGCACCAATAAAAAACATATCTATGTCTTGAATTTGAAAAAAATCACATTTTATTTTTCACTAAAGAGGGGTTCAGTGAATGCGCACATGAAACTGGTGGGGTTCGGTACCTCCAACAAGGTTGAAAACCACTGGTCTATAATCTGAGTGAAAAATATATTTCAGGATGAACCTTTGCATATTCTGTACCAAATACATGTCTTTATATTTCTTATCTGCAAAAATGAAGACATCTTCCTGTGTTTAGGTAACGACCACAGATGAATTAGATCATCTCCACTCAGAATGTCATACAGAGTTTGCCCATCAGACAGTACACAGATACACAGCATCAGTTTTTAAATATTCAGATGTGACCACAACAAATATCTTTCAGCACTCTATGAAACTACACTATCTTTGTCTTCATTAAACTGCATCAAATATCCCACTGCTGCTCACTCCAGTAAATAAAACATGTGTAAAAACACAAACAGCTGCATCTGAGGCTCTGTAGATGTTGTGTCCACAGCTTCTCTTTGATGGTTAGTGTGCTGACAGGAACTCTGCTGAGTTTATTTTAGGAGCGACATCCCCAGATGTAGTCTAGGCTCCTCAGAGTCTGGCTGATAAATCACTAGCTGATCAGGCAGATCAGAACACCAGCTTAAAACTGGGAAACTGCTCTCAGGTTTCAGTTCGTTCAGTAGACTGGGCTGTGATTTTATGATAGTTTGCTTTTCCTCAGGGTTTTTATCTAATAATTGAACTTTTTTGTAAAAAAATGAAATTGTAAAATTTTACATGTTTACTTTACATATTCTTAAAGGAAAGCCACAGCAGTCGCCTTAAGGTGTTATATAGTGTGAGGCAAAGACCCTTTAATAGCAGTAAAGGCTGTATTTTACAAATGTGACTCTAGCCATTGCTATCAGCCACTTGCATTAACAGGAAGTTTGAAATGAGAAGTTTCTTAGTGCCACTTTCAGATTAATAAAGGCATCTTCCAGCCCACAGTCACAGGCATTATGTCTGAGTTCATGTTTGTAAGGGTGGCTAGCTCACTTAGCATTGCTTCGTCTTGGATTCTCATTCACGAGTGGTGGGAGAGTGGAAGCAAAACAGCTGCTGGTAGTCACCAAACGAATACTGTTGCTGATGCCTGCATTGGAAATGAACTTCTAAACTTCCCGGGCTCAAAAGGAGCCAAATTAGGCAGCTGTTACGTATGACTGCATCCTGCACGTTTCTCAGGTTTATGTCCAACCAGTGGGAAACCCAGCTGGGGGCACCAAGGGGGGCTGGTGCCAATCCCTGGACGGATCACTGCCAACAAAGAGACAGGCAGCAGTTCACACTCTTCCATGATCTTATACTTATTTCCTGAACACGTTTGCTCCAGTCTGAGAATCTTGAGCTGCTTCTGCTCAGCTGTGCTGAGAATCATTAAAGTGATGGTTGGGACCTTCAGTCAACCAATCAATTACCTATTTTAAGTGATATCGACTTTAATAGCAGGAAATTAACTAGGCAACCCCCCTCCCCCCCACACACATATTTTTTAAGTAACCTATATTTGACAACAGCATAATAAAACTGAAAATTCTGTTTTTGCTGAGCCACCCCCCATGTGGCCACCCCTACGGAAAAACTCTGCAGGTGCCCCTGAATCAGGCTAGTCCCGGATCACGGCAGAAAGTTTAGGAAAAGCACTGAAACTACAGAAACTACAGAGAAAGTGTTTTTCACAGCACCACTCATCAGTCAAATATTACTCTGCTGCTTTAGGAGTGCCTCAGTATCCTTCTGAAGAAGCTAGTAGAAAGAAAAAGTCACACTTACACGAACAACATGGTAAGAATTACATTTGTTTGTCTAACCTGGCTGAATACATTTCCTATTTGAGCTTAATTTTCTTCACATTAATTATAATTAATTCTGTTTCAGGCAACATCAGAAGATGAGCGTCAACGATGTGCTTTATATTATTTAGAAACTGTTCACACTATTTAATGAACTGTCAATAAATCAGTAGACTGGAGTCAGCGAGGGCAGTGAAACTTGACCTAGTTTGACTGATCAGCGACATTCCCGTCACACAGGAATTTGTCCCACTGCCTGAAGGGAAAACTTATGGATTTTGTTTGTCTTTATCAGTGTTTCATTCGTTATCAGCAGCATTCACTGGCACTGCTAAGCTCTGCCGGGCGTCTTACTGGCCCTTTTTGGTGAAACTGGCTCTGACTGGTCTTGACTGGCACTGGAGTCCTCCTGGATCTGGTCCAGGCCACCTGAGAGTTTTGTCAACTTTACAATGCACAAAGACTGACAGCTGTTGCTGTTGGAGGCATGAAATAACCCCACTCTGGTTATTAAGGTAATTCAGCTTCAACTTAGCAACTTCAACAGTTGCTGAACTGCAGAGCTGCTTCAGTGACAGACTGCTGCATCCTCGATGCATGAAGGAGCGTTTCTGCAGGTCCTTCCTCCCTGCAGCTGTCAGACTGCACGATCAGAACTGCTCCCAACAAACACAGATGTTTACGTCAGCGCTGTAACTGCACTATCTTATCAACCGGTTCACATTATAACCTGGTTTGCCTCTTATCTGTATTTAATTTTATTTAATTTAATAACGGTACAGCAATCTGTTTTTGGTAACCACTGTCCTCGATGTAAATATGTAAGAAAAACTGTGTATGTTTCTGTTCTGTGTCCTGTGTACTGTTTGTTGTATATGTGTCTTTCTGGCTGCTGTTACACCCAAATTTCCCCTTGTGGGAAAATTAAAGGATTATTCTATTCTATTCTATTCTATTCTATTCTATTCTATTCTATCCTAACTAGTCGAAAATCTCAAGAAAACAAAAAATGGTGAGCTTCAAATGAGAAAATAAAGAATCATTTCAACATAAAGACATGAATAATTTTATTTGAGATGTTGTGATGTGTGGAATTATCTTATTGCCGTAACCATGGAGCTAAAATTCTTAATCTCACTTTGTCAGGAGAATGGGCCATTAATAGAATTAATTTTTAAATGTTTATCTATTTATTTTTTATTTAATTTCATTTCCAATTGTAAAGCTTCATTTGTTTCCTTCACGCTAAAGATGAACATTCGAATATCTGACAGTTCATTCTAATTAATCTGATCTTTTGAATACCATAAAATTTACTCTCCATCCAGAGAATCACAATGTTAATATTTATTATTTTAATAACCACATTAATAATATTATATATAAAATCATATATGTCATCATCATAAAACAGTATATACATTTTATTATTTTAATTTTTTTATTTAAAATTAGTAAATAATTAACAATTTATATTAATCATTGTGTAATAAATAACAAAAAGGACTATCATAAGCCCCTAAAAACATTATGTGAATAAAAACATAAAGACATATATTTTTTACTTTTAAATGATTAACATGAGTTTTTCAACATTTTTAAACCTCTTAAGAAACATGTTCTCATCTTTATATCATGTGGAGTAATAATATCATAACAGTTATGATGTGGGACCTACTGAACAATAACAGCATGATATAGCTAAACAGATGAAATGAAACACTGAACATGCACATGATGCACATGATGTCACAGTTCAGAAACTGAGCCCGAGGCAAAGCAAGGGGAGCGTTTATAACACATTAGTTACACTCTCACCCCTCCAGAGTTCAGACTGTTTGGACTGAAACGTTCGTTTGCTGCTCAATTATAATAAGCATAAAAGCAATAATAATGTAAACAATGAATTATTATTATTTTGCAATCATTTCAGCTTTAGAAGCAGAAATAAGATGACTTGCTAATAATTCTTAGGATTATTACGTTTTCTGTGAAATCTGAGTCCTGCTTTCTATTTAACTTTATTCATTTGTATTCATATTATACGCTTTTTATAAACAGTTAAAATAAATTACTTTCCAAAGTAAATATATTTAATGCAACAACAAAACACTTAACTCAGATTTTATGTACTTTTTAAGATTGCAAATCAATGTTCTTGGGCTGTTTCGTTATAGGACACGTCTGGAAACATCTTAAAAGCAATGACAGCGTAAATGAGCCAAATGCAAGAACCTCCACTTGAAAAATAAAACACAAGCTCAAAACATTATATTAACTAAATGTTATTAAATTTATTGTAAATACATTTAATAAAACTAAAATACAAACTCGGCTCAGCTGTTGACTATTCTCTACTCTAAAATAAAAGCTTCCTTGAAGTGTTGCTGCAGTCAGTCACCACCACCCCGTGCCCGGGGGTTGGGCGCTAAAGCCAACGACTAAAAATATCACCACCTCCAACCCAACACATCTCAGTTTGATTGACAGGCACCATGTGGCACATATCTGGAGGGGCAACTGATAGCCCTGCTGCTGATTCCCTTAAAAAGCCATCAGCCACTCAGCTGGGATCCAATCTGATGTTCTCAGCGGCTATTCTGGGATGCCCTGCTCTAACCTTCAGCTAAAAAAATATAAAAAGATCACTTTGTCTGGTTCTCCGTTGGAGCTCATTATTCACAACAGTTTAAAAAACTTTAAAGACACTTACTTGTCTGGACAAGGATGCCTGGGAAGCCCAGATTTGGGCGCTCAGCAGGAAATCTAAAATCTTTATCCAGAAAACGGAGTCAGAAAATCCAAAAGGGGAACAGTTGAGCCTCAAAGGAACCCCAAAGAAAAAAACAAAACTACAGGCCTATGCCGCCGTGTAGTTTTGTAGTTTTCCTCGTAACAGCAGTCCCTCCAGCCGAGGCGTCCAGGCTGGGAACGCTGACTCTGCTCAGGGCAGCTGGTCGGCCGAGTGAGGCCTTTATACTGCTGTGACATCACACAGGGCACCACATGACATTGGTCAGCTCTGTACAGCAATGCAGGGGATTGTGGGAGGAAAGGCAGACATTTTGTGCAACTCGTCACACCTGTCAGCTGCTTTACTCAAGGCAGCCTCTTCCTCACTGTATGTGCTTCAAAGAATCAGGAGATTTGTTTGAAAGTTGAGGTGTTACCAAAGTCATCGATAAACTCAATCTGATCATCTGATCAATGCCAACCTTCCACGTTTCTCTGCAGATAGGGTGGGGGCTCATCTGATGGTGACTCAGTGGTATAATACAACGTTTGCTCTTTTATCTCTCGCTAACAAACACCTGGATGTTGATTTTTCTTATCACTATGTGAATGCATTAATGTACTCCACAATCAGTTGAAGAGGCTTTTCAAATGTATTGTATTGATTTTATCTTTGATGTTAAGAATCTCCACCTGCCTAATAGAGTTATTAACCTGGTGTTAAAACTGAGTCTAAAACCTGCTAACGACTAGGATCACAGAGTGAATTCCTTCTTTTTTGTTTCTCATAAGTGAAAGTGAAAATGGTCCGAGTGCGAAGATGCAGATTAGGCTGAAGGGACAGACGACTTTACAAACTAAGAAAAAACTGACTTAAGTAAGTTAGTTGTACAAGTAAACTTGCCAGGTTACTATTGGCAATATTGGCGATTGTTGAGACTTGTGTATTGATTGTTAGCTGTCTGAAAATAATATTTAGTACATGTAGATCAGCGGTCCCCAACCTTTTTTGCACCACGGACCGGTTTATGCCCGACGATATTTTTTGCACGACGGATAAATACAACAAAATAAAACCGGTACCGAAAAAAGTAGATTTATTCATAACACACGTGAAAAGACCCAGGAAAACCGAGTTAACGATAAAAACGATAACAAAATAACACTAAAAACCGATAAAAACCCTGAAAACCATACATTTCACACCCGAGCCTCAACTCTCGCGGCCCGGTACCAAACGACTCACTGACCGGTACCGGTCCGTGGCCCGGGGGTTGGGGACCGCTGATGTAGATGATTCCTCCTCTAAAAAAAACCTCAAACAAAAAAATAAGTCATTTGTAAAAAATAGCAAACATGCAAACCACAAAGTCAGTCCTATCCACTCTTAGGTCTAGAGTAAATAACTGATTTATTGTCATTTTTAATGTGGATCCAGAGCCTCCTTTGTTGAATCTGGTAGAGCTTCGGACTATGTCCAACATTTTACTGAAAGTTCTGCAAGTAAGAAACAAGAGTTAGAATCAAAATACTGTTGACAAGTTGTAACACTGTTTTGTCAGTTAGTATCTTTTATTTAGGAGTGCTGTGCAATTTTCATCCAGTGTTTCAAACACACTCTTGACATTCTATCACTACACGGCAAGTTCTTGTTACATTTCTCTATAGCTCACCACTTTATATACAGGGAGTGCAGAATTATTAGGCAAATGAGTATTTTGTCCACATCATCCTCTCCATGCATGTTGTCTTACTCCAAGCTGTATAGGCTCGAAAGCCTACTACCAATTAAGCATATTAGGTGATGTGCATCTCTGTAATGAGAAGGGGTGT